TCATCTGTTGAAGGGCATCTAGGTTGGTTTGATAATTCAGCTATTGTGAATTGAGCTGCTGTAAACATTGATGTGGCTGTGTCACCGTAGCATGCTGATTTTAAGTCCTTTGGGTATAAACCAAGGAGTAGGATAGCCGGGTCAGATGGTGGTTCCATTCCAAGTTTTCTAGGAATCTTGACACTGCTTTCCATAAATGTTGCACCAATTTTCAGTCCCACCAGCAATGTATGAGTGTACCTTTCCCCCCACATCCTTATCAATGTTTTTTGTTGTTTGTATTCTTGAAAATTGCCATATTAGGGAGCTGGGTTTGTGGCTTAGTGGTAGGGTGCTTGCCTAGCACATGCAAGGCCCTGGGTTTGTTCCTCAGCTCTGCATAAAAATAAAGGTATTGTGTCCAACTACAACTAAAAAATATATTAAAAAATGCCATATTAACTGGGATGAGATGGATCTAAGTGTTTTTGATTTGTATAGAGGAATATTTTCTATTGGAACATTTTAAATCCTCTAATTCCTTATTTTTTTGTTATATTCTGAGGTTTCTCTGGAGCCTACAATAATGCTATCTTAATTCGAATGAGCTATAGAAGCATTATTCTTATATTGCTGTATTCTTCCCCCCCAAGTTGTTAGTAAGCATGTTACATCTGTGTGTCAGAAACTCAAATTCATCATCTCAATTATTAGTTTATATTGTTCTTTATTGAAGCTCATAGGAGAAAATTGTGTGTATAAAGTATCATGTTTGCAATATTCAGTTTATTAGTATGAATTCATTTTCCTATTCACTGTCATTTCCTTACTTCTGTACACCTTTTTCCTATTAAATTCTTTTGTGCTTTGTTTTGGTAAATATTACATTTCAACATATGATAGGCTAATCAATTAACTATTCATTTACTTTTATAATCAGTTCATGAAAAGGAAGCAATAAGTGTTTAGTATATTTTTAGATTAGATTTGCTGTTGGTATATGTGTGTGTGTGTGTGTGTGTGTGTGTGTGTGTCTGTGGTGTTTAATCCTTTAGCAAAGCATTCTGTGAATTTGTTTTTATTATTTAAACGTTGGCTTTGCTGATTACAAAAATCCCTTATGGATTTATTTCCTTTAGCAATGAATATGTTACCTAACTGTCCAATTTTCTGATAAGAAGTCAGTTTTTGATCTTATTGCTGATCTTTTGTTAATGACAAATCATTTCCTTGCTGCTTTCATGGTTTATAATTGCCTTTGGCTTTTAATATTTTGCTATGATACAATGATATATCTTGCTGAAGCTGGCCTTCAAATTGTAATCCTCCTGCCTCACTGTCCTGACTTGCTGTAATTACAGGCAGCTGATAGGTTTTATTTTGATGACAGGGACTTGGAATAAGGTGATTTTCGCAGGGCTCTTTGAATGTTTCATTCCCTGATATATTGTACTATTTTTTCCTGTTACCATACCTACCTGTGAAACTCTTTTCATTGTCTCCTAATAGCTCAAATTTATTTGTGATATTGCTTGGGACATAATTGCTCTACTCGCATGCATTTAAACAGTTCCCTTTGCTATGATATAATGATATTGTTGTAGAAACAGATGAGGCAAGGCATCAAAGATAGCAAGAAATAGTTTTATTTGGCTGTAGCCAGGTTCAGAGGGCACAGCTTCAGCTGTAATCAGTCAATCCCCTGAACTCCAAGTCCAGGTAGTTTCAGAATTTTATACCCAGCATGTAAGGGGAGGGGCTCAGAAGTTTACAGTCGGTAGAAGTTCACATAAAAGCAGATTTTTTCTTTCACTGTTCTGGGCAGGTTAGCCCTTCAAGGATAAACCTGAGAAGGGGAGAGCTGCTTCTCTGTTTCTTTCCTCCCCCTGTAAGCTGTTGCCATGGAGCCCAATTGGTAACTTCATCTTTGTGAAGCCCAGCTCAAGGCCAGAGGCCTTTTTTACACATTTCTGCAAACTACTGGATACATGTTTGTGAAAAACTAGAAAGGGCGTGCCCAGCACCTGGAGTGCTGATTTCTTCCAGGCCAGAGGCCAAGTAAGACAGGGCAACTCGAAAATAGGAAGTTTATCTATATTGAGCTCTTTTGTAGAGACCCTTTTGCTGACAGTCCTAAAATCGGCCATGGTGAAGATTTCTGGAGAAGCCCAGTTGAGACTTTTCTGTGGAGAAAGGGGGTGTCACTATAATATCTTTCTGAACTTGGCCTTCAACTTGTAATCCTCCTGCCTCATCCTCTCAAATTGGTTTTTGGGGCTGGTTTGGGATTTGTTCTGATCCCTGAGTACCCAATTTCTAATTGGCCTACAGTTTAGTTTTTTGCTTTCATGTAGATAACTTAATTACTTACCATGATAATTAAATTTCTTTTAAGAGTGCATTTTGCATTTAGGCTTGAATCTCCCTGAACTCAGTTTCAAATAAACTTAGTTCCTTTGAAAAGCATCATAGATATCTATTCTTAGACCCTTTTTCTCCACTTTGAAAAAAAATCACTACATTCATTAATGCTCTGAAACTGTGGATGGGGTGTCTCTTATAAAGATACCCCCTCAACCGAAGATTCTAGCTGTCTTCTTGCTCTCTTCCTGGCATACAATTGCTGTCCTATGTGTAAGCTAGAGAATCGTACTTACACTTGCCCAGATTTTAGTCTATGTAATAGTATTGAGGGGAATGGGGAATGCTGGCATTGTGGCCCTCCTCTTGGAGGAGATGGAGCCCCATTTAAAAAAAATTCTGCCTATACCCAGTAGGGCTGTGTCACACTGAGCTGGGGGAAGGCCTGTGAAAGAAACGGGGCACAGATAAAGACATGCTATGAACACTTTAAAAAAATAAAAAATCTGATTTTGAGTGTTACTTCAACTGCTGAATATCTTAGGGAAAATTCTTAGTCTTTAAATGGTTTTTATAAACAAAATTATCTTTCACTAGTTTGCTGGCAGAAAGTCTGCAGAGCCCCTCACACTGTCATTTTGAATATCTCATGTTCTCCATTTGCTCTATTTTTAACTTCATAGTCTGCAATACAATTCCAATAGTACCTACAAGTAGTTGCAGTGGAAATTTAACTTTTGCCTTAAGAAGCAATGTCCATTTATGGGTATTTATGTGTTTCCTTTCTGTCTTGTTTTCTAACCCCTAGCAGGTGTTAGGCTTGCCCAGTTGGTTTTGCTCTTTATCTACTCTTCACCTAGTTGGAATACTCTTCACTATTTCCTATGTCATTCCCAGCTGTCTCGTTTTTGCATTTATGCCTAGGCTCCAAATTTCCACTTGAGGCACTGGAAATGGTGATGCAATTTGTAAACTGTCTACTTGGCTCATATACAAGCTTTGATTTTTCAGCCAGTCCCTTGGCTTTTGTAAACTGGCATGTGGGCTTTATCTTACTCAGATGTTAGTCTCTTCAAGAGAACACTTGTTCTATTTGTGCATTGGCTTCATGTGCTATGACGCTCATGTAACCATTGCAGAAGAAAGAACATTTTGAAGTCGATATAAGATCAGCTTAACAGCCTACCACAGAAATTTATTTTAAGGCAACTTCATTAAGGTAACTCTCTGGTAATGCCATTCAAGACTTCGTTACAAACAAGACCCTAATAAAAATAAAACTGTCAGACATAAGGGTGTCTTTATTTTTTTTAATAAAGTTCAGATCCAACTATTGAGACAGAACTTTTATCATAGTAATGAAAATCACTGGACATGTTGCCTGAGGAACTTTGCAAGGAGATTTTATGTCTGAAAGGAACTGTTTTCAAAGGAATAAGACAAATTCATTGTGTGGGTTGTTTTGTCTCATTGTGGGGATCTTAGGGAGTTTGTTTCCTTAAATGATCTAATGTGTAAATTAAATGTTCTGGAGGCACACTAACGAGTAAACATCAGTTTGCATCTCAGTTTCATAATTGTTTTTTTCCTGCCCATCTTTGGGGAATACCCAATTTTATCTTGGCATCCTTTTAGGGCATTGATCTCAATGATCTGTAATAAAAAGGATTTGAACCTACAATGAAAATAATAATTTCTACCTATTGGTAAATGGAATTATCATTGTAGAACATTATCATGGTAGAACCTGAGATAATTGACTTGCAAACTGGAGAATGCTTTGTTTAGACGTTTTCTTGAGATAGCTTGTTGAAGGTTTGAATAATCTGTTTTTGTGAAAGTGAGATTCAGAATCTGGCGTTTACTTTAAAATGCTCCATAGGCGAAATAAGTGTACGATTGACTCTTGTTTGTTCTTTAGGCAGCAGGAGCAGTTAGACCTCTCGTATCTACTGTCATCAGTCCCTCTGCTGATGGTTGCTTAGACCACTCGCTAGAACGTGCCAGACACAGAGCAAGTGAAATGCCACAGGCTTTTCTGTTTGATGTGATTTATGAAGCATATCAGCAGGTAAGAACCCTGAATTTTTAAGAAAGCTCTGACTATGCCATGGTTATCCCAAACTATGTCTACTCTTGGAAAATTTATAAAAGAATTCATAGAACTTAGCATTTAGTTGTATTCTAGGCAAGATATATTATAGTGAAGTAGTAATATGCAGCTGGCTCACAAGAGTCACAGGCCATTTGGAGGAATGCATTTGGAGGCTTCCCTGTGTTCTCTCCGTCCCCTGAAGGGCCAACAGTATACCCCTAACTCCGAGCAATGAAAATCCTGCAACACTTGCACAAGGTTTCTCCCCAGCAAAGCCCATTAGAGACTTAGTGCCCAAGATGTTTATTGAGGTTGATCACCTAGCCATCCCCTGGCTAGCATGTACAAAAATTCCACATTCTCTGAATAAAAGCAGATGTTCAGCATGAACATTGCTTTTATGCAAGCCAGTCTAGGTCGAACATATCAAAACTATCAGTTAACTTATAGACATTGGCCCAGGACCTACCTTCTTAATGGGTTTTCTTAAGAACAGTAGTCTCAGGCCTGTCATG